ATGTCACTAAAAATGGACAAATATCACAACAAAGCAATTTAGAGAAGGCAAAATGTGGGTGAATAAAAGTCACATGAACACATGTTCTGATCCATCTGAAGTGAAAGAAACCCCTGTGGAGCCCAGTGAGACTGTGTGGGTGCAACTGCCTGGAAGGGCAGAGAGCAAAGCAAAAGGGCTTGGGGGAAGCAGGATGGGAGTGGCAGGAGCTGCCAGAGCCCCCTCAGCGGGAAGCCAGGGAGAGCGTGAGAGGGTTTGGAGATCAGCCAGCCAGGGGCAGGGGCCAGCAAAACCTATATGTTCCTGTAGATGCCCTAGGATTGTGCAGTTACTTCTGAGTGAGGCATGGAACCAGTGAGTGTTGAGTAGACAACTAATGTTGCAATTTAAAAAATAAAAATAAATTTCCAGCAAGGCTGTGGAGCTTCAGAAGCTCTTACAACTGGGATATTAAGGAGGTCAGCCATCCGGCAGGACGTCCCTCAGCACATAGTAACATTAAGTGTGCACCCTCCATGCAGCTAGTCCACTGTGGTTCAGAGATGGAAGGAAACGCACAGGAAGAAGGCCTCACTGGTCACGTGGTATCGGCAGCAACCTGGATGCTCAGCACAGGGTTTAAACTAAAATGTACTTTACACAATGCTGACCTGTTGGAAGTAATGGAAATGGTTCATATGCACACGTGGATGAAATTAAATGTTTAAGTCTGAGTTTAAATCTTAGAAAAAATAACAAATAAACCAGATGAGGCCTAAAGAGGAAAAATTATTTGCTTAAGAAATGGAAACACACTATGAATTCTTTAAGTGTCTGTAGAGATGATTTGGAAGTTGGAGTGGAACCACGTGATTTACACTTGAGTTGGTGACTCAGAGATGGAGGAAAACATGATTTGAAATGGTGATAAAGAAAAATATGAAAGAGAGGCCTTTAGGTGGCTGATGATGAGTGTTAATAGTGTGAGTAAACTCTGTGCTCCTGGGTCCCAGGAAACTCCGACAGAAAGTGCCACACATGCTCTGCTGGCACAGCTGGCAGGAACAAGTGACCTCCCTTCAACCCATGCCCTTTATTTAGGATTCCCGGCTGCCCTGGCCCCTCTCTGACATCGTGAGCAGCTTCAGAAAGGAGGATCAGGACAGCCAAGTCCCTCCACCTGAGATGCCCCGGTGTGTCAGAGGCAGGAAGGCTTTGGGGTCTGAGGGCAGCATGGGACAGTGAGGGACACTCCTGAGATGGCCTCTCCCAGATGGAAAGTGACTCAGAGCCTCCAGGAGAGTTTGGTCATCAGGGAGCCCACTGGGTAGGTTTGGGTGGCCACACTGACCTACTAGGACACACCTTCACCCCACCAGGTCAGCCGTGAGAACTCAGGGCAGAGGGGCCCAGGAAAAGGCGGGTCACACCTCTTATTTCAATGCAGTGGCTCTGCTCCTGTGAAGGTTTTGGGAGATGTAAGGTGGCTTTGGAAAGCTCAGGCTCCACAGCAGAGTGTCAGGAAGTGGAGTTGCATCTGAACCATACCCAGGGCTCCTGTCTTTACCCTCCTCGCTCACTGTGCAGAGGAGGGGACACCTCACCTGGGGACAGGGGATCCACAGTCAGCTCTGCTCCACACACCCACCCTCCTCACTATGCTGATTCTGACCCACAGTCCCTCCCCTCTGTCCAATTTAGGGTCTGTGGCCCAGGCAGGGCCGGCTCAGCCACCCTCAGCATCCGAAGGTTCTGAACAAATGCCACAGCTGTCTGCACTGAGCACAGCAGCAACACTGGCAATGTTGACAGCTGGGGCCAACATGACACATTCTTCACATATACACGCGGTAAGCATTTTCTGTCACTTTGCGCTTTGTAAGTCATTTTCTTAAAGGGGACTTTTGCTATGCCAGATAGTTTCAATATTTATGTAGACCAATGCTTTTTTCTCAAGATCAGTATTTTTGTGTCCTAAAACAACTATATATATGTGTGCGTGTGTATGTGTATATATATATATATACAACTATATATAACTGTATACATATGTGTATGTGCATATATATACAACTATGTGTATATATATACATACACACATATGTATATAGTTGTATACGTACACATACACACATATATGTTCATATAAAAACATTTGAATTATATCTCAAAGTTGTTAAAAAAAAAATGAATGGCTTGATATTCTAGTGCTAAGGGATGGCTTTATTTAAAACATAAATAGTTTCCAGCAGATTCCTTTAAAAATATTATAGCAGGGATTTCCAGATCACCCCCACTCCATTTTTATAATTTTTGACTATTTTCCAGAGTCTTGAATTCAATGAGGTGAAGGTGGAAGAAAGCGTTTAGAAAGCCAGTGGGTACAGGAGAGCTGGTGTCGGGTGAGGCAGAGTGGGGAGAGATGCTCCTTTAAATGGAATCCTCTGGAACCTGCAGAAAGCAAAGGTGAGGTGGGCAATCTTCCTGCAGAGCTACCAGAGAAAGGCTTTAGACCCAACACTCCTGTTCACAAACACAGACAGAGGCATCTGTTTTCTTAAAACAACTCTTTCTATATGGAAATAATGAAAAGGAGAAAATTCTGGTTTAGTTATTTTATTCAATTATTAACGAATAACTTATGAAACAAAAACTGTAAAAGTGGAACTCAAATTATTGTTTAATCATCTGGATCTGTGGCTCAGATACAGATTGAGCAAAACAGCCATAGATGATGCTCCAGCCGTGGAAGATGCCCCCAGCCGTGGAAGATGCCCCCAGCCATGGAAGATGCACCCAGCAGTGGATGATGTCCCAGACGTGGAAGATGCACCCAGCCATGGAAGACGCACCCAGCCATGGATGATGCCCCCGGCCGTGGATGATGTCCCATTGGTGGATGATGCCCCAGCATTGATGATGTCCTAGCAGTTGATGATGTCCCATCAGCGGATGATGCCCCAGCAGTTGATGATGTCCCATCAGAGGATGATGCCCCAGCAGTTGATGATGTCCCATCGGTGTATGATGCCCCAGCAGTTGATGATGTCCCATCGGTGTATGATGCCCCAGCAGTTGATGATGTCCCATCGGTGGATGATGCCCCAGCAGTTGATGATGTCCTATCGGTGGATGATGCCCCAGCAGCTCATGATGTCCCAGCAGTTGATGATGTCCCATCGGTGGATGATGCCCCAGCAGTTGATGATGTCCCATCGGTGGATGATTCCCCAGCAGTTGATGATGTCTCATCGGTGGATGATTCCCCAGCAGTTGATGATGTCCCATCAGTGGATGATGCCCAGCAGTTGATGATGTCCCATCGGTGGATGATGCCCCAGCAGTTGATGATGTCCCGTCGGTGTATGATGCCCCAGCAGTTGATGATGTCCCATCAGTGGATGATGCCCAGCAGTTGATGATGTCCTATCGGTGGATGATGCCCCAGCAGTTCATGATGTCCCAGCAGTTGATGATGTCCTATCGGTGGATGATGCCCCAGCAGTTCATGATGTCCCAGCAGTTGATGATGTCCCATCAGTGGATGATGACCCAGCAGTTGATGATGTCACAGCAGTTGATGATATCCCAGCAGTTGATGATGTCCCAGCAGTTGATGATGACCCATCGGTGGATAATGCCTCAGCAGTTGATGATGTTCCAGCAGTTGATGATGTCCCATAGGTGGATGCCTCAGCAGTTGATGATGTCCCAGCAGTTGATGATGTCCCATAGGTGGATGATGCCCCAGCAGTTGATGATGTCCCATTGGTGGATGATGCCCCAGCACTTGATGATATCCCAGCAGTGGATGATGTTCCATTGGTGGATGTTGACCCCTCGGTGGATGATGTTCCATCGGTGGATGATGACCCTGATGCTCCAGCTGTGGATGATGACTCAGCTGTGGATGAAAGCCAACAGTTGTTTTCAAGAAAAGTCTAGTACACAAGTCATTAGTGAGATTTATCAAGAAAAAAGGGAAATCACAAAATTAATATCAGAAATTAATAGGAAGACATAACCACAGAGAGAGCAGAGATGACAAAACAATGAGTGGACATTATGAATATATAACTTGTTTTAAGGCAACGTTTTGTTTCACTTGGGCTGGTGGCCACACGCTGCAGTAGCCGGCCAACAGTGAGAGTCTCCTCATGGAGGAGGCTTGGGTTGAGGCGGAGGGTCTTTAACCCACATGCACAAGTGAGTTGCCAAGAGGGGATGGAAACCAGGCTACCAACCAAGTGCTGCACAGAGTTCCTGCCTGTCCCTCTCCTCACCATTTTCAACTGGCAGGGTTTGAGCATTTTAGGGCTTGGGAAGATAATATTACTAAATCTACTAAAAGACATCACCAATTCTTATGTGCTCCGGCCAGCTGCTGAGCAAATTAACTTCATAACTGAAGTGGGCTGCACTGGCCCATGTGGTCCCCCACTCCTCTTAGAATTTGAGAGCTTGGGGCCGACTGGAGGGTGGATGGTGGGAGGAGGGGGAGGATCAGGAAAATAACTGATATTAGGTTTGATATGTAGATGATGAAATAACCTGTGCCACAAACCCTCATGACACACGTTTACATATGTACCAAACCTGTTCATCCTGCACAGGTTCCCCTGAACTTAAAAATTAAACAGAAAAGGATCTGTGAGCTGATCCAAGCACCTGGGGATCTTTGTGCTTTTCACACTGATGACAACGCCATTCTGTGGGGGAGATGTGCCTGTAACTGCCCTGGGTTGTGTGACCATGGAGGCCACTTTATAATGATGGGCAGTGTTTGGGATCTCCTTAGGGCTTATACACGAATGCTGGACTCCCTGTGTGGTGGCGAACACCCCCTGACTAAGAGCATGCCAATAGTTGCCAGTGTCAGCACAAGCCCACACTCCTGGGTTCGTGTTTTCACTTTTTCATTCAGGAACTCGGGAGCTGGGCCATCGCTTGGCCCTTCAGGTTCTCCACCTGAGCAGTGAGGATAATAAACCAGACCCAGGGATGGCTCTGGTGAGGGTGGAGGAGTCACTGTACAGACAGAGTAGAGTGGGGCTGGATTTTATTTTTTAGAAGTGGACACTGGCGAATGGGCTGTGTAAATGGAAACTCTCTCCTAAGAACACACACAGCCTTGCCTGCACAGAAGCTCCACATTCACATCACATGATGCAGCCTCACACGAGACACCACCAATCCTCAAGCACCCAACTCAATGCCACCCAAAAGGGAGCACAGCTGCTGCCTCAAAATTTGGCCATGATTTTTCCCTGGGGAATTGAGGTTTTTAAAAAACACTTTCACTATGCTTACTCCTATCACAATCCCAGAATCAAGGTGGCACTTCACATTGAAACCAGCTTTTTTTTTTCTTGACAATAATTCCAGAATACTTACCAGAGTCACACTTCAGAGGGATCATGGGCACTACCTGCAACGCAGAAACAAAGCTTTATGAGGGGCATGTCGTGCTGTGGATTGTTTGCACAATGTTCTGTTTCTCTCAATGAATACTGTAAATCTGATCAGGAACGTAGTCAACTGCTACATTAATCAAAATGGCATGGTACTGGTACCGAAACAGAGATGTAGACCAATGGAACAGAACAGAGCTTCATTGGACAGGACAGAATGGGAGGCCACAGAGGCCTGGGATAGATGTTTTGTCCCCACAACACAGCAGGGAGCACACTTCATGCCATGCTGATGCTTACTGAATGGTAAAACTGAGGACTGGGTGATTCTGTTTGATATGGCAAGTCTACTTTGCCACTACAGGCAGTGCAGCATGTTAGTTTATAGATTAGCCTTTGGTGTTAGAGAGGTCCAGCTGTGAGTTTGTCTCGTGAATAATTTGCTTAACTGAGACTCACATTCCTCATCTGTAAAATGAAAAGAACCAAACTAACAATGCCTCAAAGTGATTGTGATGCTTGAAGGAGGCAACATAGAGAAGTGACCACATAGTATCCAAGACTCAAATGTGTATCAGTCATCCTTTTCATTTTAATAACTTAAGCAGTTGTTATTAAGGACAGTCATGTGGCATAGTGACATTTTAATCAATGATTACTTACATGGCTGGGGTCAGACAGGCGTACACAAACCTGCTGGCCTGCATCATTAGATTAAAACAAAATTTTTGGTTAAACATTTTAAGTAAGATGCTATACAAATGAAAGACTAACCACAGTGATGGAATTTTTAGGGAGAGATAAAACTAAGTTCACAAGGATTTGGAGAAATGTCTCCTCACATATGCTGCTACGGGAGCATGAATTAGCATCATCATTTTGAAAAATATTTGGTACTATTCATGACAATAAAAGATATGTTCCCTTCTAACAATCTACTTCACAGAAATGAGTGCCAGTATTATTCCAAAACCATTGACAAAAATACTCAAAGCAACGTTACTTCTCACAGCCATAATTATTTAAAAACAGAAAAAGAAAATTCGATGTCAATCAACAGTAGAGTGGATAAACTGTAATAGGTGACTACAGTGGAATGGTATGCAACAAGGAAATGGAAGAACTACAGTTACACTTATGAACATGAATGAATTTCAAATCATAATGTGAGTGAAAAAGCCAGACACCAAGAAACACATATTGATTTATTCTATGTATAATAGTCCAGACCTGGAGAGGTCTAAACAAGTCATTAGCAGTCACAGCAGGTCCCTAAGGGAGATGATTAAAGGAGGAGGGATGTCTGCACTTGTGCCATCTCACCCTCTTGGATGTCAGGGTCCAAAAAGAGGGTGCTGGCAATATTTAGGTGGTTCAAAATTGTCATGAAGAAAAGCAAATGACAGACAGCAGCAAACTCAGGTCTTTAATGAAGTGCCCCAGACTGGACAGATGGTGCCCACTTAGTTTTGTATCTTATTATATAAAATGAGGGTCCTCCAAAGATAAAAATGTCATCCGTAACATGGACAGAATTATGTGCTATCAGCACATTTTATCATAGGAGTTTCCTGCACAAATTTTAGCAATCTGTGACTAAAAGGTCCAGAACTTAACTTATAAATATCAATTTAGAGAACAGAGGCCTAATTTTTGAAGACAGGAAATAGTGTAATGCCATCTTCTGTGGGAAGGAACTCTTGGTTTCCCCAAAAATTAGAGAACTGGAGAGAAAGAAGCCTCATCTCAGAATATGTGGTAGGGGTGGAAAGTGGAGGCTACAAATGTGATCAAGGTCAGACTTCTCCCCTGCCTTCCCAGGAGACTGGAGATGTACCAGTGGGCCCAGAGTGAACATTCACTCTGCAGTCCACCCCTAGGAGACCCCTTTAAACCCACAGAGAGGACAGAAACATAAATATGCTATAACAAGTCTTAAAATTTCAGAGGGTGATTATCAATTTCCCCTTGGCACACAGCAGAACTTTTTCTCTAATTTCAAGTAAATGTCTGTGAGAGAGATATTGCCACAGATTCCTTCCTTTCATTACAGATGACACTCAATGCCCAGCCCTACATCCCTTGTGCATAATCCCAAGGAGTGCTGATTAATCCAAACCAAAGGTTTTGATTTTTCCGTGGGCAGAAAAGAGCAGGTGTACTGCAAAGATCACCTCTAATGAACACAGCACCCTCACAGCCCAGAGAGACAGTTCCTACCTTTATGACAACAAACTTTGAAAAGAACAAACCAAACCTCACACACATTTTCATTTTCTTTCTGATTTCATACTCCCTTCTTCAGCCCCTCAAGCAGCGGGGATAACCTGAAGGCTCTCAGGAACCCTTTCCCATCGGGTCCTACCTGCAAAGTAGTTCCCTACCTTGGGGGTCATCTTCAGTGAGCCTGAAGATGCTCCCCAGAATCCAGCCTTTAGAAACAAAAACATCAGGACAAGTCATTAGAAAGAGTGAATCACCCACACCTCTTCCTCCAGCTGAAGCCACGCTGCCTCACACATCATTCCTTGGTCTTTGCTCTGGGCAGACAAACCTTCCTACAGCCTCTCTGGCTGGAGTTCTATATGGGCCAAATCACTTTCTCTCAGGAGACCCCAATCATCCTTCCTAGCGGGATCCCAGAATCAAGTTTCTATACACTCAAGCATCAAGTTGGTCCTTCATGAAATGAGTTACTTCATGGTACTTACTTCTCACCCTCTCCTGGGATAGTTTCTGCAATTAAATAAAAGAAAGCATTATGAGGATGAGATTCTGCGGTGCCCTTCACATAGAGCTGTTATTCCCTTGGCAATGGTAGAAAACCAGAAGTGGTACAGTGGCTGAGCCATAGGCCAACAGCCCCAAAACCATGAGGATGCTTATGGAAAGATAAGCTCTTTATTCACAGACTTCACCTTTAAAGTGGATTTAATGGGCAAACACACAATGTTTAATCCAAGGAGGAAAACGTGTTCAGGACAGTGCCTCTGCATTACAGCCCATAATGGATGCTGCCATTTGAAAACCTCCCAGTGTATCACGTGTTAGTTGGGAAGACACTCCCACTGAACTTCACCCCCACAAAGAGAATTGCATATGCTGTACATAATGTACATTTTCAGATTTTCACATCAAAATTAATTGAGAATAAATGACAAAAGCAAAATTTCTTTAGAAGACAAAGAAAAGGAGTCTTACATAGAGGCTTTGTTCATCTGGGTCTTCTTCCTCTTCCCAGTATCTGAGTCCGATGGTAGTCGCCTGGACATCTGAAGACACTGGAAGGACACAGAGGAAAGCTCAGCACCCTGGTGGTTGGTGGCTGTGAGTTACTCACGGAGCTTTGCTGGATGTGGGGTATGGAGGTGGGTGATTATCAAGCACGGACTGAGTTGCTACTGGGCCATCCCCCTGGGTGGAAGAGGGCTGGCCAGGGAGGGCAGCAGGAAGGATATGAGACATGGAGGTCTCCGCCTCATACTGGAGGCATCATGCAGCAACACAAGAGTCAACCGAAAATGGAAACTCAAATGCACACTAAGGGTCAATGGAACCTTCTGCCTCTCATACGTTTTGAAGCTCTTTTAAACAAACAGCATATTCAAGACTACGTCAGTACTCTAGAAACCAATCATGCTGCTGCCAGATTTAGCATTAGTTTTAAAGATGCATAATAAAAACCTGGGTCTACCCAGCCCCTTATCTGAACCCAGACACTTTCTTCTATTGATTCCAGGTTTCAAAACTCTTTCAACCAATTGACAATCAGGAAATCTTGAAAACCTTCTTATGACCTGGAGCCCCGACCGTCTCCCACTTTCTGTGGTCCTGTCTTTCTAAACGGAAGAGATTTACATCTTGCATGTATTAATTGATGTCTTATGTCTCCCTAAAACATGTAAAAACCAAACTGTAGTCTGATCACCTTGGACATACGTGCTCAGGACCTCCTGGGCTGTGTCACCAGCATGTCCTTAACCTTGGCAAATTAAACTTCTAAATTAGATTGAGACCAGTTTTAGATAACTTTTTGGTTTGCAATATGTAATCATGGTGGGGTTTATTTTTTAGAAGAGGACACTAGGTATTTATTGTGTCAAACAGAAATAACAACAGTATTTATTTATATGATTTACATCCCAAGAATATTTTTCCATTTATGGATTCACATAAAGGGAAATGGCTGTCACATAAATGGATGTCACTGCAGTTCTGTTTTTTAGACTTTTCAAACCTTGAATAAAAGCTAAGTTGAACAGACAGATGGATTCAATTCTAGGCAAAACAGTCTATTGTAGTTATGTACTAAACTTTTGTTACAGTCGATGATGGAAGAATTGGAAATATAGGAATTATATTCTATAAAACAGCCAGTGTTAATCACAAGAGAGTTCCTTCTTCAGTCCACCTTTCCTTTGTCATGCATGTGTAGTAATTGCCTACGGAGGATCCTATCTTTGTACTTGCCAGTGCATTGAGCATAGTGTATTTCAGGAAGGGACACATGGGCTGGATGCTGATGTGTTTTAACTCTGCAGTGCAGAGCTACAGTGAGTGTGGTGAACTAGTAACCCAATGCTTTTTTGCTGCCTTAATTGTCATTGTGTCTAATGAATGTAGTTTGCAGGATTTGATCATTTCTCGGTCTTGTGGTGATAAGAGTTTTCAACTATCTCAAAAAATATCTCATTCATCTTATTTGTTTGGGGCCAACTGCTGGGGAATGTCCCCAGCATTGAAAGGAGTTTCTCAACATTTCTAAGTACTGCTTCCTAATATTCAGAACTTGCATTTGACCCTGTTGTCAGAGGCATCTGGGGCAGCTCTGTATTATTCACACCAATGGCTGTGCCATATCCTGCAGTTACATTCACTGTTGTCTGCCCTAAGCCACGTGACTGCTGCAGCCATCTTGGAATCATAGACAGTGTTTGGGATCTCCGTAGACTCATGTAAATCTAGGACTAGCATGTGTGAGGGAACCAACCTATGGCTACCCGTGATGGCAGGGTTGAGAGCCATCCTCCTCAGGGTAATAACCGCAGTTCAACAATTCATTATCAATTCAGCTTTAGAGCTATATCCCTAGGTTCATATCTTGCCTCCTTCCTTTAGGGGCTTAGAAGCATGGGCACATTCATTAGCCCTTCTGTTTCTCCATCCAAGGAGTGTGTGGATAGTAAACAATCACTGTTTAGGTGAGGTCTGTAGTAAGGATTGAGTGGGTTTATTAAAATAAACTGTGTATTGTAGATCTTCAGAATGGTAAATTTAAAAAGAACTGACTTGCTTGATATCTCAAAGCTTAACATGTTCAAGAGCTGCATGCAAACCCGAGAGATAAGCTCCCAAGTCAGGGGCGATGCCATAATGCACAACTGCTCTGTCCAAAAATCATCATTTCAACTGAACTCTACCCTTGGGACAAAAGAATGAGATATGAGTGTCAAAAATGCTTTTGGTGACATCCTGATTCCACACAGTAGCTACTTCTGAAAAAAAGAAACAATTTAAGTGCATGTTGTCTACTAAATGAGCCAGTGACCTGATGAAAGATCAACAGACACCTGGTCAAATGGAACGAATACCAGTTTACTTGGGGAGGAGAATTATCTACCATAATGGAAGGTTCTAAGCATGTGATATCATATCCTGTATGATTTCTTTCTCTTAAAAGAAAAGTGGCTCCAACTGAGGCTGTTGCCAAGTTATGGAGATGACTGTAGCTTGGCCTTGGAAAAGTGCTCTGGATGGTGTCACGGGAGACGTGATTTGTGCACTCCTTCCTTCTGAGGAGGGTAATAGGTTGGGTGAAAGCCTATTATTCATATCTCTGTACATAGGGAATTTTGAATAATCCACAAAAGTATGTTTAAAATTATGTTTTGGTAGGTAAACTGGCCTAGACACAGTTCTAGATATGAGTAGAAGCAACACGCTCTCAAATACTGTGAACTAAACATACATTCAGGCTGATGTAAGGAGGGAAGCCATGGGAATAGCAACATTAGGTTTCTTTCTTGTGCATTTTCCTTCACATTTCCACAATTCCAGATTCACTTCAGATTCCAAAGTCTAGAGTTTAAAAGATAATTGATGGTGGAAAGACAGAAGCACAAGAGATGTTCCTATATTCTTCCACTCAACACGAAGAGGGAAGTTAGGTATGCAGAATCTAATCAGAAATATTGCATTTTACTCTATGGAAAAATAATAAATACAATAGCATGAACAAAGAATTAAAACTATACATTATGGCATAAGTAGGCAAAGTATTTCTTGAACAACCTTACTACATCAATTGGAAGGACACCAGTCAGTAGGTAAATATGAACAGACCTTCACAGTACCAATATACTTGAAAAGAGAGGTATGAAGCTGAGAACTTCTTTAACATTCTGCATACGGAATATCGGAGACAGTCTACAAGAATGCTATTCATTCTAATAAATTCATCAAAATTGCAGAGTACAAAGTTAACACTCAAACGGCAGTTGTGTTAATATGCAATCAATATAAATAATCCAATAGTAAGACTACAAATGTAATTCCATGGATAATAACCTCTGACATCATTAGATACTTCCAAATGAATCTAACCAATGAGATGAAATACTAGTAAGCTGGTAAGAACAGAATGTGACTGAAAGGAAGTAGAGAAGGTACAAATAAATGAAAAGACATCCCATATTCACAGACAGGAAGACAAAACCTGACTAATACACAATAGTACAAAATGATCCAAAGACACACAACAACTACTATCAAACTGGGAACAGCCATTTGTGCATAAATGGAAAAGATAACCCCAAATTTTTGATGAATTCTTATATGTCTCAAATAATCATAATAATGCTGAAAAAGAACAGCATTGGAAGATACACATTCATGAGACTGAAATCTACTAGAGGAAAAGATACAGAAATTCAGACAGCAGGGTTCTAGCATGGGGGCACCAATAAGTATTGGAGATACAGAATAGAGAGCCCAAAATCCAATGCATGCATACACAGTCAATTGATCTTCAACAAAGGTACCAAGAATACACAAAGGGAAAAGGAAGGCCTCTTTAACAAATGATGGTAAAACTCCATATTCTCACTTGAATAAAGAAATTGAGCAGTGTGCTCAAGGTTGTGTTTCTTCCTCCGTTTACAAGACACTGGATCTCTGCATTGAGCCCAGAGTGAATCCTCATCCTGTCCCCCATTCCCAGAGAGAGCCCTTGATATCTGAAGTAAACAGCAAGAACAGACAAATGAATGTGCTGCCATGAAACCTAACAGTTCAGAAGGTGAGGATCAGTTTCTCCCAAGCATCTGGGCACACTATGGAAGAACTGTTGTCTCCAGGATTAAGTAACTGCCATGACAGAACTGTGTCCCAAACCAAAGGCTTTAACATTTTGCAGTGGAAGAGGCAGAAAAGAGGCGTCCTCAGAAAGACCATCTTTAAATAATAAAGCAAGAAGAGGTGATCACAGCAGGGTGCTCACACCTCTCACCACTATGACATTAAACTCTGACAAGAACAAACCTCATCCATGTTTTCTTTTTCTTCTCTTTCTACATGCTCCCTCAGCCTCCCAGGCAGGAGGCAGAAGCTGAAGGCTCCTGGGAACCTGCTTTATTAGCTTCCACCTGTAATCTTGTTGCCTACCTGGAAAGGCATCTTCTTCACTGTTGAGATTTTCCAGTGTCCATTCTTTAAAACCACCAACATCAGAGTATGTCAGAGAGAGGTGCACTCACTTCTACCTCAGCTGAAGCCACATCGGCTCACACATCCCCTGGCTGGTCCTCTGGGTTCACATGCATTCATATAGCCCCTCTGATCACAGTTATACACTTACAAAATTATTTGCTCTCACTAGACCCCCAATATTCTTTAACCAGAACCAAGAATCAGGTTTCTATATATGAAAGCCAGCAAGTTTGTTCCTCAGCAGGTGAGCTACTTCAGGGTACATACCATAACCAGGGAGCGATGAACTCTGCAATTAGACAAAAGAAGACGCTATGAGGATCAGATTAATTATTCTGCACCCCTTAGCCACCCCCCAGATCTGTTAGTCTCTTGATGACTTCAGAAAAATAGTTGTAAGACAATGGTTGAGTCAAAGGCCAAGAATCAAACATGCTAGTATAGAGGACACCTGTGGAAAAGTCAAGACCTTTTCCCACAGATTTTATCTATGAAGTTGATTAACATTGGCAAATACACAGTGCCTAAACCAAAGAGGAAAACTGGTGTTGAGGAAAATTCCTCTGCCTTACAGTTGATAATGGATGCTGTCATTTAAAAACATTCTAATATATCACGTATCCGATGGGAAGACACTCCCACTGAATTCCACTCCCCCCAAAGAGAATTGGACATGTCGTACATAATGTGCCTTCTCAGATTATCACAATTAACAGAAGGAAAGGAATCAGGGAAGAAACAATTCTTTTTCAATTTTGTTTTCTTTTGAAGTTTAAGTTCCAGGATGCATGTGCAGGACTGTGCAGGTTTATTACACAGGTAAACATGTGCTATGGTGCTTTGCTGCATGTATCAACCCATCACCTAGGTTTAAGCCCCACATCCATTAGCTATTAATCCTGATGCTCTCCCTCCGTGATCCCCACCTGACAGGGCATTCTTTACAGGACAAAAAAAGGGATACTTACCTCATCATCATCCTCAGAGGTGGTGCTCCTGGAATCCTCAGGAGGAGCTGGAGGGAGACAGAGTAAAAGTCAGTGCCCTGGTGGCTGGAGACTGTGAGTAACTCAGGGAGCTTTGCTGCATGTGGCATATGGAGTGTGGGACTGAAGATTCTGAGACCGTCTCAGAGAAATAACTATGTTCAAATAGTACCATGAGGGAGTCTCACCAGATATCTTTCATCTCAGACAATGCCAAGACCTAATCATACTCTTGCATTCCCAAATCCCAAGAGATATTAACCAATCAAAAAGCAAGGCTTAGATGTTTGCTGTGACATAGGCAGGAAAAACTGGTCTCCTGGGAAAAGTCATCATTAAATACCAGAGTAAGAAACGATAGTTA